CCGCTCTGATGGTCAATGAGCAACCTCAGTAAACCCCCCCCCCCCCCACACACACACTCTGATGTAATGCATTCCCCAGCTTCTTAAAAAGCTCCAATTATCGTGCCTCAAACATCAGGATATCTGGAGGATGAAGGCCCTTTAATCTGAACCATTTGTCTACAGATTTAGCCTTAAAATCACTCTTCACCTGGGTCCAACATGGCCGACAGGGTCCAAACGGACCCGGATCAGACCAAATGAGGCCACTCGTGTACAGACACTTAAAAGATGTTTGTTGAAATAGTTGTAGAGCCCTTTAGACCCTCTCCTGGCCCTGGTTCTAGGTTCGTCTTTATCCCTGGCCGACGCCCACCTCCACAGCGCGTCAGCCACTTTGATGAGTCAGCAGGAACCCAGACGACCGCTCCATCGCCACGGCGACGCCGTCGACCGGCGTCTGGAGACGGAAACTAAACCTACAAGGAGGCCCTAAAGCTCCAGCCCAGACATTATTCAGCAAGATGAGGTCATCAAGGGATTATTTTCCCCAAATATCCAACAATGTCCTCAGCTCGTTTGGTTTGAAGAGGATTGAAATGAACGCCAGGGATCGTTTTCCAAAAACATTCTTATTTAAAGGTCACTTTCACTCCAGAGGAGAGCCAATCAGAGGGTTCGGTCATCAACAGGAGGCTCATAAAAAAAGAGACTGAGCCAAAAGATGGAGGGGACCCCAAACAGGGCGCTTTCTAATCTTAAAACTCCCTAATAAAATAAGTAAAATAATTAAATAAATCAGCCTCCAAATAAACGGCAAATGTAAAAATATGAGAAGCTAAATCCAGTTTGTTCCAATGGCCATTTTAAAAATAAATTTCCTACAAATGTGTTAGAGCCAATGCATTAAAAGAAAACAAAAAAACAAACAAACAACAACCCTCAAATGAATAAGCCAAAGTCAGTCGGTTGTTTTCTTTACTGGGTCACATGACCAGAAAGAATCCCGATACAACTGAAGGGCTCCA